CCGTCTCACAAGTCCACCATATATCTCATTGTGGGACTAGTTAAAATATACTGTGCACACAACGAAGTCGGAGTTGAGATAGACTGTGCATGTGCTGTACGCACTGTGCACAAAACGAAGGAATACCATTTATTAATACTATACGACACTATTTTCTTTGAATTCAGATGAAACCTCATTAAATACTCTAAGCTTGCTCAAATTCCTTATAATTCTATTCTTTAACTCTTATTTCATTGCCTTGCAACCATTTTCATATGCTAGTATGCTTCAGTAATGTATGGATGATTGTTATTAGTATTTTTAAGTGTTCTTTGGTGGCCTTATATATCCCCTCCCTCAATTAAATGAACTCTTGTCTTTTTCTGTGAGCTTTGCAGTTGAGTAATGCAGTGAATTTCTTCAATGTAGGTGGATGTTTCTCCTGCTTTTCACTAATTACTGAACCTTTCAACTGTTGGTGTTGATTGCTCTCATTGGGTGTGTTCATATGGAGTACCCTTGAGAATGTTATATAGGGAGTTCATCAAGGAGAATTTAAAATTAAATCAAGCTGTCCTGTTAAATCTTCAATATGGTTTTGTTCATGGTGAAATATCGGCCAATATTGGAATCAATCAATCTCTAATAATTAGTGGAGCATTCCTGCCATAGGCAAGTCTGTGCTCAATGTAAATCCCTGCCAGGCAATGGATAAATAACCAGTGAAGCATAAAAACTATTTGATCATATTTCATGCAGGGATAGTGCTTGTTAAGCCTAATGTGTTGAGGTGTTCTTAACGCTTTTGTTGCCATACAACATACCAGTGTGTCATGACCATCTTGCCACTGCCACCTTGACAGCAAAAGTGTTAAGGAAACACTTTCTAATGTGAGCTCTCCTAGGCTTGAGTGATAGGTAGGTATAGGCATAGCCTTCTTCCATATATTACTGTCTTTCTGTTTGTCTTTACAGGTCTTTTAGTGGTAGGTAGAATGATTAGGGAAAGACTGTTTGGCAGCCTATATCACAGCAAAGGCAACATGATAGACTATTGATAAATACTTATCTGAGTGTGAATGTGGTGGTATGAAGGCGTGGGAAGACCAGCTGTCGCGGTCCAGTGAGAGCACCTATTCTCCTACCATCATCTTCTCTTCACAGGTGCTATTCCCCCCTTCACACTCACTCATCACCTCTCTTCCATCTCATGTACACTAGGTGAGTATTATTCTTTATCACATGCACTGATTGTTTATTTATGCTGTGCAGTCTAGGGTAGGGTCTATATGACAGTGTCAGTGTATAGTTGGATCCCATGATCCAGGGATGACAAATGCTGATACTTATGCATTCATGTGTTTTTGGAAAAAATGAAAGCTTAAATAAAAGAAAGATGCCATGTCTGAATTAGATACTTAAAATCAGGTCCACTTGGACGTCCAGGCCTAAATTTCTTAAAGATGAGAAAGGAGCTATGTGGTTGTCTCTAATTTAACCCCTGATTCAGATTATATCTTGTGGATAACTTGAAAGAGTCTGAAGGGCTTCTGCCTTCCCTTCCTCTTGGATCTCATCTTGGGATATAGGTAGAGAGATTCAGTACCATGGTGAAACAAGAAATTTAAGCAATATCAATGGATCGGCCATGTGGCCGGTGTAAGCAGTAGTTAATATAGATCTTTAAAACCATATCATGAATTTGAGGAGGTATTGGCATTCCTGGTATTTCCACAATTGGAAACAGTGCTGAAAAGGTTTGGTAAAAAAAAAAAACTTTTGGTACTGCTGCCCTAGTAAATACAGATCTTGGGGAAAAAAAATTATTTAAAACCTTGGTGGCTTTGGTGTTGAATCAGTCAGGTGTCACCATCAGCATGGGTTTTGGAATTTATATTTAATCCTTTTTCAGTGTTTTTTAAAGCTCTCTCTTTATGTGTCATATTGATGTTCAATTAGGGATACACCCATGATATGTTCGTGCCATCCCTCTCATCTTCATCAGTCCAAGTAAATCATCCAAAGCGAAGGAAGCTTGAGCATCATAATCACCACTGCTTGGATTATCCCATTCACCTTACCACCCAGTCCAATGTAACTGTGGGGAACAGTCATGTGGCAACTCATTTCATCAGCAGCCAACATGCTAGACCTCAACGGTTCAATCATCGGTAAGGAAGTACATCTTGAAAAATGCATACACTTCTTAACATTTCAGTCAGAAATAGTTTTCAAAGTGACTGGAGTCACTGTGAATTTTATCATGTGCCTTTAACTTCTTCTGTGATAACATGATGTTTCTGTATGCTTTTCTGGCATGAAAAATGATTAAGGCTTTTATTTGCAAACTGATATTGCCACTCCTTGGATTACTTAACCAATTTGACATTGAACTTTTTGAGGGGGTAACTTGTGGATTGCAATCATACTCTGAAGATGTGTTTCCTGTTGTTTTGAAACAGATGTATTTAATGATTGGCACATAGGCTAAAGATAAATTATTGTGGTGGAGATAATACATAGCTCATGAATGAGGGAAGTAGATAAAATGCAGGGATAGAAGTGAAGGCATCATTGAAAAGCTTAACTTTGCTCTCCATGCAGAAAAGCATTTGTTCTATTGTTGTCTACTGCCTTGTAACAAAGAAGTCTGAAATTTTAGAGTGGGGCAAAGTGAAAAAGCTTTGAATTTTGTTTTGTGTGAAGAGGATAAATTAAACGTAATGAAAAAGCAGAAGGTACCCAGGAAGTTCTGAAATAAACAGCTCATTTAACCTATATTGTCTGTTATAATTTAACAGACTGGATCTGGGAGTTACCTGGACTATTACCAATTCAATCTGTCTGCATATTAAATAAATTGTCCAACTCAATTTTTCATTGTCACAGTAGTTAATTTTCATCCAAATTATATAGGTATATTTAGTGCTTGATTTTATGCCATTATTCATGATAGTTTCAGTGCATAGCTTAGAGTGCTAAAACTTTTTATGGAGAAAGTTGGATCTCTTGGTCTCATGCGTTTTCTTTGTTGCCAGTGTGCAGTCAGAATGTTTTCATGTTTCACTAACAGTTATTTTTTTATTTAAACCCAGAGGTTCTGCCTAAATGGCTGCATTCAGTGAGAGACAGTGCATTATCATTGATAGATTTGTTGAAAATCTATCTTTTCCTGGCTTTACTGAACAGTCCATTGCAATAGATATAGTTGAGATTTTATACACTGAGTAAGCTTTTATAGTTTCTGATGTATGCTATAATCACCTCTGCAAATTGGGTAAAATTCGTGAAAGTGGAAATCAATAACAAAGGTATACATGGCAATACTTTCCGATTATTACTCAGTGTTCACCCTAATTTATTTTCTGGGATCACCACCTTTCTTTTACTTTGACACTTTGAAATTTATTTGGAAAGTTTTCCTTGGCTCTTATATTTAATGCTCATTACTTTCCAGCTCATCCCCAGAGAATGGTGCCCCTGGAAACTGCCGCATTTATACTGTAGAAATTCCTCAATCATCACAGCGGTGTGGTCAAAAGGTATGTTACTATCATGGTCAAAATGGTGACTCTTCTGCCTTGTTGTTAATTGGCAGCAAACTGAACTTTGGTAGCGCAAGTGCGAGGAGTACGAGACGTGTGATGCAAGGAGAGGGTGCGGGAGAGGAGGTGATACGACCGGGAACACTCGGACGACCACAAACACGACGCAAGGGGTGGGAGGCACCAAGGTGGTGGGTGGTGCACCCACTGCCCATCACCACAATCATCACCACCAACACCATCATTCCTCAAGTGGGGGTGATGGAGACTACCAACTGGTGCAGCACGAGGTGCTGACTTCACACACCAATAACCACTATGAGGTCTTGGAATTCCTTGGCCGTGGCACTTTTGGCCAGGTGGTCAAGTGCTGGAAGAAGGGTACAAATGAGATTGTTGCCATCAAGATTCTCAAGAATCATCCTTCCTATGCCCGACAAGGCCAGATTGAGGTGAGGGGCATAAACATATGTTAACCTGTTAACATAAACATATTATCTGTAAAAACTTGCATTAAGAGATTCTTTGGCTCCTCCTTAGGTTCAAATCCTGCAGCGTCTTTCTCAAGAGAGTGCCGATGAATACAACTTTGTGCGAGCACATGAGTGCTTCTCTCACAAAAACCATACTTGTTTGGTTTTTGAAATGTTGGAACAGAACCTCTATGATTTCCTCAAGCAGAACAAGTTCACTCCATTGCCACTGAAATGCATCAGGCCTGTTCTTCAGCAGGTGCTTACAGCACTGCTCAAGTTGAAGGTTGGTACTCCCTGTATTTTAAAAGTGGTGTTTATGATGCTGGTAGTTAAAGGGCATGGTAACCTTATGAGGTATGTCTGCCTTGCAGCAATTGGGCTTGATACATGCAGACCTCAAGCCAGAGAACATCATGCTTGTGAACCCACAACGAGAACCATACAGAGTGAAAGTGATTGATTTTGGAAGTGCATCTCATGTGAGCAAGGCAGTATGCAACACCTACTTGCAGTCCCGTTACTACAGGGCACCTGAAATCATCCTAGGTGAGTTATTAATTGTGGGGAAACAAAACTTCACGAGACCATGCCTTTAATCCTTCTAGGGCAGTTTTGTTGTGTATCTTAGGTCAAGACCCTAGTATAGTAAACTCCAGTGTTGCACTTTTTGTATGGCTGGGGAGCAACAATTTATACATTTAGTTTGAGGTTGGATAAGCATTCAATAACAAAATCTGGAACTGAGTGTACTTCAGAGATTCCACCATCAAACTTGTCTATTAGACATTGGCCACAATTGTCACCAGGTGTCATTGGTGCTATAGTGAGGGTCTTCTTGGTGGTGGGTGATCACCCAGAAAGGCTTCAGGTAGGATATCTTTGGCACTGTAGCCAGGTAAATGTGAATCGGAAGGTTGGGGTTGTCGACCAGTCGCTTGGGTTCCTGGAAGGATGCTGTTTGGCGGATGTATATTTGCTAGAATGGGAAGCTATGATGCTGGGGTGTCCTTGAGGGTTTTTGATATTGTCTGATTAGTATCATCAGCAAAGCCTTCAGTACAATGATTAACAGGATGGAGAAAGTTTACTCCTTGCATTGTTTATGACTTGGCCTTGCTTGTTTTAGCATGTTCCTCCTGTATGATATACAGGGCTAGTCAAAATGATTGCAGCGGTTTCAGAAAATTACTACAGGTTTATTATTTGACATATACTTACAAGATTGCACAGATATATAAACAAATAGTGAACGTTTTTTTTAGTGTTTACATAAACTTTCACTATTTGTTTATATATCTGTGCAATCTTGTAAGTATATGTCAAATAATAAACCTGTAGTAATTTTCTGAAACCGCTGCAATCATTTTGACTAGCCCTGTACATCATGTCTATACTTGAAAAAGTATAATTTTTAGCACATATAAGGATTGCTCAATTGAAACCCAGACAAAGACCACCAAGGAGATGGCAAGCATAGTGGCATTGTGGCTGGTAGGGCAATGACCCTGCCAACTAGTGGTTTGCAGGTGTGTGTTCAAACTGTACTCCAGGCCCAGGATGCTTTTGTGTAGCTTGTATGCTGTGGTTTCCCGGTTGAGACCACGGTCTGGTTTCATTTGAATGAAACCTTATATTTATTATATGCATTCACTTCATGGAGATTTTATTTCTTAAAAATTGGTTCTGTAAATTGTAGATTTTGTTTTGACATCTTATGATGATTTTTTAGAAATGAAAATTCAAACTGGACAAGTAATGGTGAAGTGTTTACATCTGTGGATGAAAAGAAAGATTATGTAATAATATTGTCGGTATTGGACCCAGTACCCAAGACCAAATTCGCATGATCCAAAATTTATTTGGTATTGCCTATTCCATAACAAATGGATGGAGGAGTAAAAAATAATATGAAAAAAAGAACCTGCTTCTTGCTCTGTTTTGCCTTGCACTATTGTGACTTCAGTCATCTTTGTGCCTTGTTAATATTTTTTTTGGCTAAAGTTTTCCCAGTTCAGTTGTGTCATCACCTCTGTGTACCTGTGATTTTTTATTACTTTCCTTCTCTGCCTGCTAATGCCTGTAAATGCATAATTAAACCAATGATGCTACCGGCCAAGTATTGTGACAACCCCAATTAGAATCTGTAATTTACACTACCCCTGCAGGAGATGAGTCAGCAGAAGTTTGAAAACACCCTTGGAGGAAGTTAGATCATTGAAAAAAATTAACCCTGTTAATTCTAATTAATGGGATTGTCTGCAGCAATCTTAGTGTGATATGAGGCCTTAGCCTCAGCATTACCCTACTTAACCTGCAACTGTACCTTGGGGTCAATTGAAAACAAGGAAGGTGGGAGGATTGGATGTCATCAGCATATTTAACCTACAGATTCTCATACAAGGAGGAAAGATTTGATCAAATTGCTTAGCAATGACCAGGCCAATGTTAAGTGACTGTTGCATATATTGGGACCTATGCCAAATTTTAGAGGAAAGATTCAGTCATAAGGAAGGACCTCCAGAACATTATAAGGTCTATGCAAAACAAGTCATGTAAATAAAAATGCGTATGGCAGTGAATTTTGAATCGGGAGTGATTTGGAAGTCAAAGTGGAAGTCACGCATCTTCATTTTCAGATTCATATTCCTTGCAATGTTAAAGATGTGCTATTGGAGAATGGTGTCATTGAGGGATTATTGTTACATCCTTTACAAAGGTTATATGAAAGTCAAAGTATGCCTATGAATTTGTTTGCTTTGTCCATTAGAAGTGAACTCAATGGAACCCTCACCACTTGCACCCCCCTCCCCCAGTTTCCTCTATGGGAATTTGCTTAATATGTGGAAATTGACTCTTGTAAATGTTAACTTTGGTAGTGATTGGCTTGCCTGTTTGAGCCATAGTCTGTATAGAATATGAAAAACACCATCAGAGATTGATACCTGCTGTATGCTTTTTTAAATTTTAGCTTAAGCTATTTATTGTGTGTGGCTCATGAAGTTTTATCTTCTTTTCCCTCATTTATTCCCCATTTCTTTTGCATCTAGAGGCTGCATTTGGGATACTGACTTTCAATCTGTTATTCCTTTATTTGTTCATTTTCAGGTCTTCCTTTTGGGGAGTCAATTGATATGTGGTCTCTTGGGTGTGTTGTGGCTGAGCTGTTCTTGGGCTGGCCACTCTATCCTGGGAGCTCAGAATACGACCAGATCCGATACATTAGCCAAACTCAAGGCCTCCCACCTGAGCACATGCTGAACAATGCCTCAAAAACCAGGAGGTTCTTCTATCGAGATCTTGAAAGCTCTTATCCATTCTGGAGACTAAAGGTCAGTATGCTTTTATTTCTCATTCTTTGGAACAGATACAGTTGTTTAGGGGATGACCTGGTTGCTTATCCCTCCCTGGTTTGTTTGCAGACTCCTGAGGAATATGAACTTGAGACATCAATCAAGAGCAAAGAGGCTCGCAAGTATATTTTCAACTGTCTTGATGACATTGGTCAAGTGAACTGTCCCACTGATGTTGAGGGGGGAGAGTTGCTGGCTGAGAAAGCTGATAGACGAGAATTCATCGATCTCCTCAAAAGAATGCTCACCATGGATCAGGTTCATATCTTATTGCCAAATCACATACAAAAGTGAGATTACCTGTTGACTTACTTCCATGTCTGTCATAGGAGAGACGAATATCACCAGCTGAGGGGTTGCATCATCCATTTGTTGCCCTTGCACATCTGGCTGATTATGCTCATTGTACCAATGTGAAGGCTTCTGTGCAGATGATGGAAGTTTGTAAGAGGGAATACCGTGGTCCGAACCCCCTCTACAGTCATTCTCATCCTCCCCCACCTCCATTAGTTGCAAATTTCATTCCCACTTCTGCTGGACCACCTGGAGTTGCTCTTGCCTTCAATAATACCCTTGCAAATCAAGTGAGTTCTCTGTTGTTGATTCCATCTGTTACTATTTCTGTTTAGTGTACATTGAAATGGTTTAGGAGCAGTTTCATGGTGCAGGTGGCTGATGCATTAATTGAAGTACTGTAGGTGCCACTTATTGTGATCACATTGGTGCATGAAGAACTCTATAACATTACCTGGCTTATAACAATACGCAGTGATCGCCAAGGATTACCCCACCCATCTTAGGATAAACAAAGTAAGGAATAAAACCTGGAAACATATGGTAGTTTAAAATTTTATTTTCAGTTTATTGGTTCATTCAGTCATATTAATTCAATTGAAAAAGTATGCATGAACATAATATAATAATGAAAAATTGTGTCCTGTATGATACAAAATGCAAATATTTAAATCAGAAGTTAGTTCTGAATATGGTTATTTTTATGACTTAGAAAGAGAAAGTTAGACTGGTAGAAAGTTTTGATAACAGCAGCTGGTGGAGTTGGTAATATTAGCCCAAAAAAAATATTATGGTCAATATAGGATTTGGTTTGGTTTTCACATTTTGATAATAAATGGCTGATAATATTAACCAGTGATAACAATAAGAGCCACCCATTGTAGCATGAATTGGATTGATATCTAATTCATAATCTAATAGATCTGAAGTCTACCGCTCTTAGGATCTTGGGGATAATTTGGAATTCTGCTAAATTGAAAAATAGTTAGCTTCAATTAACCAAGTTAAAGAAGCCCAGTTGACATGGACTTGGTTATGCCAATTTGAGAAAAAGTATTAAGTGCCCCTGACTTATGGTAAAGAAACCTTTTAAGTTGCCTAAATACCTCTTTGGAGGCATTCTAAATGCTTGGATTCAAATGACAATCTGCCCCAGCAACTCAACTTTATTTTCCTGCAATTTAAACCATTCTGCAATTATAACACTTGGTAATTTTCTGTGTACAGAATGAAAGTTTACTTAAATGATGCTTCATAAATGTCTTCTAAAGATTGTCTCTTTGTCAGAGTAGATCTGACAATGAGTGGAACTTAATTTTATATGTTGGAGGAGTCCTAATAAACAAGTGTAAGAAGATATGGACCAGGGCTCTTGCATTTATTTAAGAAAAAATATTCAAGATTGATTCAAAGGATTCCCAGATAGTTAAATTAAGTGTTTGATTGTAGAACATGTAAATATGCTCAATATATTGGTAGCACATGGAAACACCAATATGCTGTTTAAGATAACATAGTCAAAGATTGATATTCATTGATGTAATTATGATCTCCATAGCCATGGAATCACTAGATCTAATCCAATGTGAGACATGAAGTGTATAGGCCAAATTGAATGTAGATTAAGTTTTAAATGAAGTCCATATGTGGAAAGGACATGAAGAACAGTGGCAGCTCATGATAGGCAGCAGTATTGGTTTGTCAGTGGAGACAGGAGAGCAGCCTCCTGTTTCCAACGAACAATTACTGCTACATATCACAAGCCACCACTGATAGAGAAACGCTGAACATTTCACCCAAAATATGTTGTTGAGTCTATTCATCATTTCATAACTATGGAGGTTAATTTTGCTTATGCATTGAGTTTCTTCATGTATTTGCTTTTCACATATACATTTCTGTATAGGACCTTGACTAATTTGTATTTCACATAGAGCTTATAATTTTAAGTATGTAATGGTTGTAATATCATGAAGTGCTATGATCTTGGAAAACAATTTTTTGCAGTATCCTGCAGCAGCAATTTTTCCAGCACAGACTGGGCGAAGTGCAGCTGCCGCTGCAGCAGCAGCTGCTGCTGCAGCTCGACAGTATGCTGCAGTGGCAGCGGGTGCAGCTCCAGCTGCTGGCCCCGCCCAACAAGTTGCCACAGCTCCTCCACCAGCACCTGCATCATTTGTGTCATCATTGCTGTGCACTCCATCAGTGGCTGCAGCATACCAGGCTTTAGCTAATGCAGCTAGTCCTGCAACCAAGGTGACCCATCCTCACATGGCTGTGGTAGCTGCGGCTGCGGCTGCGGCTGCAGCTCAACAGCCTCCACCAAACATGGCACCCCCTGCTCCTCCCCCTGCTACTCAGCTCCAAATTCCAGCTACATCTTTGATACAACAGCAGGTGGGTCTTAAGTCACTTAATGATGTGTGTTGAGTTGGTTTCTCAGCTAAAGTATTTTAGGTCTAGGATGGCCTTCATATTTCATAAGACCTTTATCTTTCTCAACTGAAAGATACATTAGAAATGTTTCCTGCATATCATTCGTTATGCTTTGTGATTTTCATTTTTTGATGATTTAAGTGGATTTCTTGGACATCATTTTTTCCCAGGTACCTCAACAACAGTATGTGCCTGTTTCCATGGTGGAGCAGAATGGAAGACAGATGCTTCTGACTGTAAGTAGCCTCATCTCCCTAGTTGTTCAGTAAGGAGAAGTTTGTGAGATAGATTGTAGTGTCAGTGGCATAAGCTCATTGCGACTTCTTATCTCAATGGCTTGTTAAGAAGCTATGACAAAGTCTCCTGTATTTCTATTCATAGAATGTGCAGCCATCTTGGGCAACAGGACATCGTGGTATGCTGGTCCCAGGTTGGCCTCCAACACAAACTTCCACTGTAGCTGCTGCTGCTGCTGCACAAGCAGCTCTACTTCCAGATGCCACAGCAGACACTTGGCGACACACCTTCCTTGTGGATAGCAGCACACTTTTGCCTGTAAGATGATCCTGCCCTGTAAGTGCATTTACATACCTTTCTGTAATGTCCAAACTTATCACTTGTGATGCTTAATTCCAGGATCATCACACTACGGCAGTATTCCCTGTTGAATTGGCTGCTGACATGTACCCAGACTACCACAGACAGCGCAATGCAGCTGCAGCAGCTGCTGCTGCTGCTGCCGCTGCTGCTGCTGCAGCAGCTGCTGCTAATGAGAATCAGCTGCTTATCCAGTACCACAGTGTTCATCATCAGAACCCAAAGAGATCTGGAGGGAGAAACAATATCAATAGCAATAACAATATCAGCCTTCTTGGGGCATTCAGTGGTAATGGAAACTTTCTGTATCCCCCAAACGGACGTGCCAAGGATTCGGCCATGGTCCCACATTTTAGTCCTGTTAAGAAGCGTGTGAAAGAAGGCACTCCACCAACAGCTGCTCCAGCAGGTTTGTTTCTGGAAGCCTGTGTTTTTCTTTTCAAATTTCTCTTCAAAACAAACTTCTAAATTTTTACATAAGCTATACTGACATTGGCCACTACTGTTTAGGTTCGCAAAACATGGTCACATATGGGAGGGAGGGACGAGGAGCACCTCATGGAGGAAGCCCTCCAAGCCCACATCCTCCTATTGGGACAGTCCCAGCCACTGGAAGACACAACAGTAAACAACAGCCCCGTAGGCAGCAGCAGCCTCAAGCCACCATTACCATCCAAGATACCCCCTCTCCAGCTGTCTCAGTCATCACGATATCGGACAGCAGTGATGAAGAGCCACAGATTCAAGAGCCAAATATGCAACAAGGAATGTCCAAAGATGTTACTGGAAAGAAAGAGTAAGTGAAAGGAGAAAAACACTTGAAAGGTGTTTGGTAAGGAATTGGAAATGAGGTGATTTCTTCGTGGCCTTTCAACAGGCAAGTGAATTGTGATTGCAGCATGTGTTCAAGCCGAGCAGCTGAGTACCAGAGACAGGGTGGAAACTGTCCCAGTGTGATGGCCCTCACACCTCAGGATCCAATGATCTCTTGTGTCACTCTTCCTGACAGTGATGAGGATAAGCCCAACATCAAATGCGAACCAGATGAGCTACATTTCCTCCTTGGCAATCCTTCAGTGCCGAAGTATAACATCCCACAGTATAATCCACAGCATGCAGCAAGGTGGGTACTTGAATACTTGAAATCACTATGATTCCTACCATATTCGACAAGTTGCATGTTTTCTTTCAATGCAGCCTGTCTCAGAAGAAAAGGATCCTGGCTAAGGCACAATCAGATTGTTTAGTGAAAGCTGAAGTGTCATCTTCTGGTGATGGAGATATCAATTATAAGATGAATGTTCCTTATCAAAATTTCAATCATGGAAGGTCTGCCATCACTTACTCCATCAATTGAATGAAGTGCTTATGTTAACATTATGAGTTCTCCATTAAATTTTCTTCAGAGAACATGGAGACATGAGGAATATTGACTTGAATCATGGAAGGGAACGGAACTTGGCATGGGGCTCAATTCGGAACGGATACATATCAAGCAATGAAAGGGACATGTATCCCTCTATGCTCTTGGGAAAGGAGATGTCAACTTCATGTAAGTTGCTTTGTCTCCCATTTGATGCAGTTCATATTTCTTACTCTAGGAGTTTCAGTTGCTGATTTAAGGTACTCTGTGACAATAATTCTTACAAATGACTGTTGTGTTTCTTACATCCTTCATGACTTGCTTGAATTCCATGATTAATGTTATTGACCTTTCTTAACAGCTTTTCGAGGTTACGATGTCATTGGAGGACATCCGCCATTGGCTCATGTGAATCGCAATGGAGCTGGGGGCATGAAACCCTGGCCAGCCCATCAGACATATGTGTCAGTTCTTGTCAGGCTCTCTCTTCAAGGGTATACTCCAGAGTCTATTTTGAAGTGTATGTGACTGTTTTACAGGCCGCATCACTCGGGCATGTCACCCCGAATGGTTGGTGGGGCTTCAGCCAGTGCTGCAACCATTTCTCCTACGACAGCTGCTGCTGCAGCAGCGGCACTGTTCAATCACACGTCAACTGGTCATCATGGGGCTGCACCTCTTTTGGTTGCCACAACTCTTCCTCTCTCTGCAGCCTACCTCACTCCTACCACACATCCTGTTGTCTCTTTTTCTGGGTGAGAGAACCAGTAGAGAAGTCATGTTTTAATCACATGACACACAAAGAAATGCCAGTTCATTGGGATCCTGCAAATTTGATTTTGGCAGTTAATCTTTTCATAAAAGATCTGAAGAGGAAAATAAGATATAGTGCACAGTAATGAAGGTAATGATGCCATTAATGGTGCTGGTTGTTCCATTCGTTCACATGCCTTTGCCTGACTATCCATCTACTTAAACTACACTCCTTCAGTAGCTCAAACTATCTTCTCTTCTTTTGTAGGAAATTATACCTTGTAAAAAAGTGAAGAGGTAGACTTGTTCATAAGTAGGGATGTTACAGTTTTTAGGGATTTTAGGGATGTTACAGAGTTTTTACTGATACCCAATAAACTGATGTTCATCAGTATAACTGGTAATCATGATGAATGTCTCACTGAGCCCAGTGTTATGGGACTGGAAGGCATGCTAATCAGCATGTAGTAGGCCAATCCTCATAGCTTTTAGAAAAAGTAAAGGAAATAATATAAGGTGAGTCTTGTTATTCAACTTTTTAAATTGGAAGTTGGATCAAACACGAAGTGGAGAGGCTATTTCTGACTGACAGTTGGCATAGCATTTCCTTTTGTGCCTATATCAGAATTCTCCAAATGTATCTGTTGGGGAGAGCTGCATTTGATTCACACCCCCAGTCCATATAAAGACAAAAGAATGAGGCCTTAATGCTGAAAAATTTAGTTAACTGTCCTTTAAGGAACCATGGACTCCTGTGGGGAAAAGAACTCTTTAGCTTAAAGAACCCTTTATCTTGCTAAAATGAGGTTAAATCAGTGCTCAGATGCTTATGGATCTTGGGCAGGGCCAGCCTTGAGGAGAATGAGAGTAACGCATGGTGCATTTTTGCTCACTCGACCTAGTTTGACATTCACTCTAGATCATCTTGAAGTTTCCCACTGAGATGATCAAGCATGCTTACACTTGGTGCTGGACTTGTCCTTTCTCAGCGAGCAGAAGTACCTATCGCACATAACCTTTGTGATGCATCTCTCCCTCAGTTTTCCATTTCTTTAGGTCTCCCCACCTCCTTCCACTCACCCTCAGGTCAACTGCACCATTGTCAGAGAATTACTAATACATTTGAAAATGGAAAGCTTTTTCCCCTGTGCCTACCCCCACCCTCTATTCTTGTTGGCTCAAGCACTACTAAAAACCAATGTTTAAAAGAGAACTTTGGATATTGGTGAGCTAGTTGCATTGGTTTTCTGATAAAACTGATATGGACAACATCAGCTTTTTTATCCTCCCAGTAAATTATCAATAGCATCCCTCTTCATAAGTCATGTTATGCATTTGCAGGGCTTTGCCACCACCAGCTCATCACAATGCAGGAGGGGGCAATGGAGGTGGTCAGGGGATGAGATCACAGCATCGCATCCAGGTGACTGGACCGATCACATCTCATGGTCATACGCAGCCGCTGCCTGCACACTTGCAGCCGGCGTTTCACACAACGCCTGCTGGGCCCAGCCCTTATGCAACGGCCACATATGCCATCAATCCTGCTAAGGCCCAAATTTATCACCTGTTTGGTGAGTGAAGGAACTTGGAAAAGTGGGCAGTCTCATCTCCAAATGGAGAAAAAACACATGCGATCCCAGTGCATTCTATGTGCGATTTGGTTTTTTGCGTCGGTTCAGTTTGGTCCAGAGAGACGAAATTTGTGTCTGAACATTGGAGGATACGTTTGGACTGTTACACGGTTGTCTCGTGAGCGGCAAAGACAGATCCGAAGCGAAGGGTGTACAAATATTCCTCTTTTTGGTTTTGATCACACACTATTGCTTGTTTAGCCTGCTCAGTTGATGTCTGAACTTGTTGTTATGGTGTAATTTATTAGCTTCTGTTGTGCTTTCTTGGGAATCCATAAGTTGTGGTAGCTGTGGCATTGGTTTTCCCTGAATGTCTTCTTTGAATTTTATAGGCCTTTCCTTGAGTAGCCTTGCTGTTGTTGTTTCTCACATGATGCTTTACAGGCTTAACAAGTAGAAAATATGGCAGAACATGTTAATCATGTCTCGAGTGAAAGCCGTGCATCAGTGCACCCAACTGTCGCTTTTCAATCTGTCACTCCATTTGTAGGAGGACAATACTCAATTGAAGGCATGCTAGGAGTAATCAAATGGAAAAGAGTAGATAATGTGACTAGGATTCTCCAGTAAATTTTTTTTTAGAGATATTATTAGCAAAGACTTCCAAAATGGAAGGGAGAACCAAGTGTTGCATATGTGATAGATTCGGAACCTTCCTACAGTTCAGGGTGCTGATCATCTCGTATCTTGTGTGATGATATGTTCTCCTTGTCTCTTCGTCCGCAGTCTTATGAAGCCTGACCATTTTCTTCTCTCATCCTCTTGCCTCCCCCCAATGGTTCATGAGAACAGGAAGAAAAAAGTATTCACTGGTAGAATTTTTCTCAGGGAAGTTTAGGAATGACAGTAAGGATCTGCATAGATGCTTGACAGAACCATAGGTAGATTTCACAGTCCCAATTGTCATGTTATTTCGGTCTCTATTGGCCATTGTAGCAGTCTAGGATCATACCTGCTTTCCATATCTGCATTGGTCCTGTGTCATAGTGTGACTAGTGTCTCATGTTCTGGGACTTGGGGATTGTACTGCATATAAGTGAATGTCCTTGCATTAGTAATGATTCTAATATCAATGGTCTGTGGTGAAATTCATTTGGGAGGCTATATTCCTCTGTCTCCCTTTTTGGTCGCCTGTACCTGTTGTGTGAGTGAGCGTGTTTATATGGCAATGCCGATCCCAAAGAGCATTTCTCTCATCCCTGCTTGCTATTAATACGTTTTATTATATGTGCATCCAGTCATGAATCACTCTGTATAATCAGAGAGAGGCAAGCAAAGGCCCTGAAAAAAAAATGTTTTGTGTGCACTCAATAATTTTTGTAGTTGCTGTTCCACTTCATGTCTTTCGAATTGCAATTCGCTCCCTTTTTCGTCCCTCAGCTTGCTTTTGTGCGGCGGTGGTGGTCTCTGTACATACGAGATTCGGTTTTTATATCGAAGTTGTCATAGGGAGTGAAATCTGGTGGTGTTTTTTTTTGTTCTTTTTTTATGCACTGCTATATATAATATCATATGGAATCACCAAATCGTTGTCCATATGGATCTTGTGTGATATACATGTAGTTGTTCTTGATGAGGACGGCAACGTGTTGTGCTGGCTAATGTCCTTTACCATAGCATGAAGTTTGTTGCATGTCCTTCATGGAGGAAATACTCACCTCTCTTGTGCACTTTCATCTCCTCTTAGATCAATTGAATCACTTGTGATTTGCATCCAACTTAACAACTTGGGAAGGAGATTGAATCCAAGTTAATGGCTCTGGATGCAGTGCTTCTCAAGTGTGTACAGCTTCTGTGTGATACCTGGTGAAAACACAAAAGCGGGCAAGGGTTTTCAACTGTATAGTATGACATGTCAAAGCAGTTTTTGCACATATCATCTCTCCAAACAAAAGATAACATTTTTTCATTACTCTCCGAAATTTGATTCATCCATGAATAGACTACATATATTTGGAAGTAGTTCATTTGTGCATCATGGAGCAACTAGATGTCATTTGGAGATTTTTGTGCTACTTGCACTGGGGACCTTTTCTGCTGTGTGGCTGTTTTCTCTTGTTGATAGCCTGCTGTATTAGTTAGCTGTCAAAGGTGGTAGGCGAGACTGTTAACGCTGTGCTTCACTGATAAACTCATAATCCATGTTGCATCTACCTGATTATCGGATCCCATTTATTTCTCCTTGAAACTGTGCCAAATTAGCCTGGCAGTGAAATCTTCTCTTTCTTCCATGATGCACTTTTTTTTTTGTTAGATTCAAGAGTCCCCTTGCCTTTTGGATGAGACCACAGAAAATCAATTTGTGCTGTCCCATGGGCAGCATTGCGTAATGGAGGGAAGAGCTCCTTATCGTAGAGAAACCTGTATTTTCTATTTCTATTCCGTCTCGCGAGGGCACGACAGTCGCCTCCGAGAGGTTGTACTGCCCGCTCAATCTTGTGATCAAATCCAGTGAATCTTTCTTGCACCTTGCATGAAGTAAAATCGTTATTGTACTTCTCATTCTTTTTCATAATGGAGGACAGAGATTTTAAACTGTGTCTGGGTGAGGAAAATTTCATGATCACGAATAATTTGTACTGATTACTGCTTTATTGTGATGATCCCCCAAGACATTTATTGATTGCTGGATTCCAATTTTTTTCTTCCTCCAATCTCAAAGCATCCTTGGAATTTCCTAGACTTTTGGTCCCCCCTTTTTTTTTCATCTTGCTTCTGGCTTTCACGCATTGTCTGATGTCTAGTGATATGATATGTACAAAAAATCTCATTCAACCAGGAGATGTAACACGATCATTTCTTTTCCTTTATGTTCTTGTCACTAGTTGCATATTATGGTGGTTTTGTGGTGTTGAATGCCCCCCTTTTTCCTGCTCATTTTCACTTTCCCTGTTTCAAGTTGTTTGGTTTTCTCTCACGCTTCAGTCTCCTGATTGCAGCTTCTAAACTCTTGTCTTTGGCATCATTCATCATCCCCCTAGTCAGTCTGTAGTGTGGTTTTCTTGGTTTTTTTTTCCGTTCAGTCAGTATACACTGACCCATGGGGACAGCTGCTGTAATAAATCTGACTCTTTATCACACCTCATCACTGCCGTTTTATTCATTAGAGCCCAGATGGGGCTGTGATGTTCTGATGCATCTGTTGGGGCCATCCACCAATTCCAAAGTTTTAAAGGAGCCAACTCTTTTCTCATAATGGAACGTAAGGAAAATGCCCTAAAGTGCTGCACGTGATTCACTGAATAAATTTATATATCCTGAAAGGCCTTGTGGTGCAGTACAGCAATTCGCTTACTCTATTTCGATAGACTGGTGCATGTAGCCGAGAGGGGCGAAAACGTCGATTTTGTATTGTATTTTGTATACTTCTTTTATGAAGCCTGACGACATCGACCACGCTGGATTCATCGATAAAGATCTTACGTCGTTAGCATGAATAATTGCTAAGAGAGGTTGATGGTTAGGTGAATAACTATTCCTGTGTTCGGTAGAGCCCTACAAGGGCTGCGAGCTTGCTTGTTAGGTCGTTCAAATCGTCCTAGCCCTTCCCCCCGCGTAAGACTCTACCGAGCATAAGAACAGCTTCTCACCAAGAAAGCATAAGCCTCTCTTATTCATGCTAACGACATGGGACCTTCCCTGATGAAACCAGCGTGATTGATTAATTCTAGTTTTACGAAAAAGTATTACATTTAGAAAGGGCAAATTCGCCCCATAGAGACTGAACACACCGGTTCAATTTAATTGGTGCCAGCAAAGGAATTATACTCCACAATAACTTTCAGAACATGCATATACATTGTCGATGAAACATTCGAGGCGCGACTCCCGTAGACTAAGCATTGCTTCTTATCTTTCGTGCAGATAGTTGTGGAATGCAGCCTTTCGTATCTAAAAGTAAGTATCTTGGGCCCGACCATCATGAGTTCCTGCTTTTGACTATGCCGTTTTGATTCTAATTATGTAAGCAGCTTGCAGTCGTTGACCAAGAGAGCGTCAATTACATTTACCGGATTGAATTCGTACCCCCCCCCCCCCCCCCCCCCCCCTATGGTGGAGAATGGAGAAAACACAAATTTCCAGAGGTTCCGCTTCAGCAGGTGATGGACAAAACTACCCACGTGTAAGATGTCACAACCTGTAATCGACGGAAGCACTCCCATACGGGGTACGAATTCAATCCAGAAACAGTGTGCCTTCATTTGGAATACAGAATGGAAAAGAGACTTCCATGAGGCATCGTCGCAATATTGCTGCCTTGGAGAATGATTAATGATATTCTTGCCCTTCGTCATTGTCAGTGACGGAGCACGAAAGCGAGCTGCGGGTGCGTGTCCCCAGGCAAGCATGTAACGGAAGAACAGGTGCGTTTCGTGTGCGTGCGTGCGCCGAGGAGGGAGCGTGAACCTCTGCTCTTCCCCCGCCTCCCCTCACTCCCCCTCAGAATCGATGAATGCGGCAGTGTTGCCGTATGTGCACTTCTTTTCCCCCTCTTGATCACATCGCAAAGTCATTTTTTTTTCGCATTCCCAATCTGAATTCTTTTGTAACTGTCAATACTTTTCGAAGCTAAAATAGCTGTGGTTTCGAAAGATGCACGAGAAGCTAAAAGCACTACCTGTCCAGCATGAAGAATTGAACCTACAGTTTTTGCATCCGTGGCAGTCCCGCTTTTCTCTTTTTCTCTTCGTATCTTCCGAATTGCATATCTGCCGTTTTACTCAAAGTTATACTCTCTTGTTCATGTAAATGTACATACTGATGCCTCCTGGTTCGTAGCCGAAAAAACGTCCGCAGATATATCAGCATAAGGTTTCGTTCCTTCAACTGCGAACCTGCAATCGCCAGTCGGAGCCGACAAGCCACACCGTCACGCGATCCCAACGAAATAAAAACCCAGCCACGAAAGAGAACCGCGAACTGGACACGTGGAAGGAGAGGCGGTGGAATCAGAAAGGTCCTCCAACCAGACTCGGGGGCTCGGCTCGCCAAAGCCCCGACGACAAAGCCTGGGAAGGCACGGGGCAAATTGGCATGCGGGGAGTGAGGCCCAGTCCCTGAACAGCACCAATACTGGCTCGGCGTCTTCCCTTTCTCTTCGCCCTCCATTGGTGTTCCGTATTCGACCAATCATTGGGGAACCTTCACGGAAATACCCAATGTAAGTCCACAAATTATCTCTACACATTCATTTAGAACGAATGGAATCACTGCACCCGGGAAGGTTGACCCTTGAGTCCACGTGGTGATCTATCTGTCCCCTTCAAACACTCTTTGGGCCTAACGTTAACGTTGAGCGAGTTCGTAAATCCTTGGGTGCCAGAGAGGGTGACATGGTTCGTTGGAACCCTTCTTTCAAGCTCACAGCCGTTCTAAAGGGCACCATGCTTAAGGTAGGCTCTGGAAGTAGGTGTATAGGTTTATTAGGATTGGTAACAGAGGTTTCTTTTTGGGGGGAAGGGTCTCATCGTTGGCTTTGTCTGGAACCATATTGGAATAGCCCAAGGACCATGTTTTTTGATGGGCCTGTCAGCCTTGGATGATGTTGAACTAGGCCTAGGCTCAGCAAAAACCCTGGCCCTTTTCTATATTTCGACCTATCCAACGACGCATATGATGACCAACATGATGCTTGAATTTTTGGCATTCACTCTGGCAGAGACCTACTGAAGACAGGAGGTTCTTCAGTGGGAAGGAGCTAATCTCCAGATGGAAACCATTCAGCAGACGACACAAACGGCAGATGGAAGCCAAATGGCATTACTTCAGACGGCCCCCCTTACTGCTGTCCAAGTCTCCGGTAACCCACAAGCTGTACAAGCTCAGGTGAGGTCCTGCTGGCAAGGCAATAACTGAAACTTATTGGATGTCTCTAGGTTGGGATACAATATGGGCAAATGCCAGGCCACAGTCTTAGAGGATTTATTAATGAAAACCCAGACTGTTTCAGTTGCTTTTGTAAACATCATAAAATAGTAGGTCTTTTTGGAAATGTAAAGTCAATTGATAAAAAATAAGTGGATAAATCTCCCAAGGAAATGCAGGATTGCAGACCAGACCTTTCCCTATACCCCCTAACAAAGAGTCTCTCACGGGATTCTTCAAGATAACAATTATGGGATTCCATGTTGTTGTCTATAAATTTAGCAATGTCTTATGGCAAAGTATCTTAGAGAAACCTTGATGTACCAACATGAGAAGTTGACCTCAGCCTGCTTGAGAAGTTTGCTTTGCCAAAGTGGACCAAAGCTTTACTGGAACCTGTAAGTAGGTGCAACCTGAAGTCTCTGCAACACTTTACCAAACTATATATGTATAAAACCATCAGGCCTCTGTATGATGCTTATATACTCTGCCTTGCCAAAGAATCCAGACATTATGCAAATTTGAGGATCAAGGTATCAGCAGACCAAATATGGGGTAGCTACCTGTTATGACACCTAGGGCGTGATGTCCACCAGCTCCACAGTGCTCTAGAGGGATTCTCATCTATTTTGTTATGGCTGAGCTTCTTCCAGGAGCTATGGTGGAGTCGTTATTAAGTGCCTTGGTGTGCTTCCCAGCAAGACAATACCCCCTCTCATGATGCATAAAATATTAGTTTGTGGTTTGTCCATTTTGTTATGAACCTATTTGCCGCAGTCAGCACAGAGAGCACTCACCTACTCAATTGAACACATCTAAGACCATGTGGAGCACCAAATCTGTAAGCAAGTCCTGCAGTCTTCTATTGTTGTCAACATCAGCTGCAAGAATTAGTGATGATGAAATGCAAAAGGATCTCATTGAAATACTATTTGGAATTAGTGGACAGCATAGCTCAACATGTTGCAGTAGTTTTTTTTCTCACCAATTGTGTTTCTAGTGAACATTAGACCTGCTGATACTTTGAACCTCCATTTTGTATGGTTTCTAGATACTTTTAGCATTGCAGAGTAAGTTTCAGTGACAGGATTTTGAAAATTGTGCCTCTCTTAGAAATGGGTAGACATTTTTATTCTTGTTTTTTTGCCATGTCCAAGAAAAATAATCGGCTCTAAATGAATTATGGGACTGTGAAGATGGGACAAGTAAAAATGATATAAGATAAGGAAGAAACATCCCTACTTGGTAAGCCTGAATCTGATTTGTACCTCTTCATGCAAAAATGAAATGAGAATGAATCTGTTCAACCTTTGCTGGTAACACTGAACATCATCAGAAAAAGAAAAATAATGAGAGATCATAAATGTGTATTTGTGCAGTTGTCCCAGTTTGGAAATGCTGTTGGCACCACTACCAGTTTTGAAAGTACTGTTGCCATCAATTTTCAGAACTTTGTAGAACTTTGTAAAACATTGTAGAGCTTTGGCTGGTAGCCAAATGCATTTTTAAATTGTCATATTAAGTTAGACAGGTTTTGAGTTGTTTGGATCTCTAATGGGGAGTTCACCTTGCCAACAGATATTTCAAGTTGCCGGAGGTGGTCAGCTGATGGTGCAAGGATCGAGTCCTGGACAGGCAATCCAAGTCTCTGGTGCTTTGCCTGCAGGTGTCCAGGTTATACCCATCCAGAGTTTGCAGGTCAGTGTAGTGTGGGTTTTCTTCTTGTAGTTGCAATTATTTACCCCTAATCTATAAGTAGTGATTATATTTCTCTCTTTTAGCATTTGTAGATGCCATCATGTTAGGTCACTACTTTTGATCATAATGAAATGTTCCAGAAACCAAGTTAGTGCATATTTATCAAAAGTTGTAAAAATTATACCAAATAAGTAGTAGTATTCCCTCAAATGTTGAAAAAAAAATTGTACTGACATTGATAGGCCTCCAAGTAATTATGCATGGAGCTTTTTTTAATGAAGAAAGGAGGCTTTTTACAGGCAGGTTTACCAATAAAGTTGAGAGAGGCTTTCTCTCGCTGGTGGATTTTTTTTTAAATGCTATTAGTTACTGGATGTTAATCAAGTACAGTATTCTGCAGTCATGATTGTCTACAAAGTAAAATTTTAAGAACCACTGATCTAATCTTTGCAACAGATTAACTTAAGAAATACAGATGAGACAGTCTTATGTCCTCAAAGAGATGAACCAACCACCTTCAGATTTGCCTGGTGTGTTAGATAAAACCAATAGCAACTGATGATCTTACTTCACCTATAGCCTAAAATACTTCAAGCAGATCTTAATACCATTTACATCTTGCCAAATGAATATGGTTGAGAGTGTGGTAACTAGGAGGTCACCTGAGTAAATAGACATCTGACAGTTTTGAGTATCCTTGTAAAAACAAGGATTTAAGTGACCATTTTCCCCCTAGCTTTTGAAATTCTAAACCTGAGAGAGAGCTAAAGAGATTGACATTTTGAATGTAGTGCTGAGAAATAGAAATAGATTCTTTCAAATTTGTACTTGATGAAGACTTTCCTAGAAAATAGAATTCAAAAGAATTGGGATGGATTTCAAGTGCACTTTTTTCCTTTCTTTGCATGTTTCATCTATCACATGCCAGGACTTATAGAAACCCAAAAATGTAAAAGATTTATACTTTTCTTTCATCTATATAACTGCATCTCCTCTATTCTTCAGGTTCTCAAATTAAATGGAGTCATTATTGCATCTCACTCCTTGAAAATTCAAGAAATGAAGTGGAGTTACATTTGCCATAAATTTTTTTATATGACTGCAATAGTCACTTTCCCCAGCTATTCAATGAGGCATATAATGTCCCATGTTCTGACATTTTAAAAGTTACATGAATAATTTATGGATGAAATGTTGGGAAATGGGCAAAGGTATACTTGCTGAGGTAGTCCTAATCACACCTGTACCATATGCTAGAAAAAAATTCTGGTTATTGAAAGTATGAGTGATAGTGCCCCATTTCTTTCAATCATGTGATTTCTTTCACATTATATGATTTATAAATAAATAAAAGAAGCTTCTTCATTCTCCAAGCTTTAGCATAAAGACCACTATAATTAACTTTGTTTCTGATGCTGGACTGTCCAAGGAGACTTATTGGCATTTAAATTCTTCAGGCTGCAACAGCTGGTGGAGGCGGAGGAGGCGGGGGTATGGTTCTTGGAGGCCAGACCTTGTTAGCTGCTACGTCTCAAGATGGACAGATCGTTTATCAGCCCATCCAATTGGACACCCAAGGCAACATCATCCAGCAGGCTGCTGCTGCTGCACAACCTACTGGTGAGTCATCATGCTAATTTCCTCGAGACCTTGCTCAGTCTTTGTAAGTAGGGTTGTGCTGATATGAAGTTTGGTCCTTGGGACTGGCCTATTTGGATGATTTTGTATTCACCTTGATTGATCTTTTTCCCATCTAGTTTTTTTAAATCCAAACATGAGATTGGCTTACTTTGTAAACATTGAGTGTCCTGCAAACTATTGTGATTCTTCTGATAAGAGTTGGCATTCAATGTCTCTCTGGAGGGAATGAGACAGTTAGCACCCCACATTGGTTCCCCTATTCAGAGACTGATGTGCTGATGGGGAATTGAATTTGGACTCTGCTGTTGATGACCTTTCAAATGAAGGAGTAGCATGTCTTCTTAAAAAAGTTAGAATCAAAGCATAACATGTGCATATAGGCCCATCTTTATCTGAATCCATTATCCAGAAGTTAGATAATAGTAATATGAAGATGAGTCAATGGGCTGAGTATGGTTCTGGTTTTGGGAATCATCTGGTTTATACTCAACTTGAAAACATCATTGTTAGGTGACCTGGTTTTTTTGTTTTTTCAAACATTGTAGTCTTGAATATTGGAGGCAACCTCATTCAGCTGGTGTCAGCTGCAACAAACTTGCCTACAACGAACCAGACTCAAGCAACAGTGACAACAGCAGCAGCAGCAACTGCGACTCAACTGACTGCCAGTTCTCAGCAGTCTCTGTCTGGCAACAATATTGTCATGGTGAGTATGCTTGAAAGAATGACACATCTCCTTTTTGCTTGGATGATATACCCTTGTGTTAAATTAATGTATTACTGGATGATAAATTACACCACTGACAATGTTACTTTTCCATTTCATCATAACAGATGATTCCAGGAGTAGGAGGAGTGTCTCAACTGCAGCGCATCCCCTTGCCTGGTCCAGAACTCCTTGAAGAAGAGCCTCTATATGTGAATGCCAAGCAGTACCATAGAATCCTGAAGAGACGTCAGGCCAGAGCCAAACTGGAAGCTGATGGAAAGATTCCAAAAGAGAGAAGAGTAAGATGCCAAGATATACTCATGTTCTCATTGTTCCATAGATGTATGGGTGTTGCAGTTAACCCTAAAATTTCAACATCACACTTTTGGATGTAAGGTATAAAGATCTGTGCAGGAACTTTATGGGAGTGCGTAAAGTGATGTTACAGTATCCAAAATGCACTGCTGACATTATTCTGTGTAGAGATTATTGTAGTTTTCAACTTTGCTTAGGGAGCCATTGCTCAAGTAAAACTGTCAGTTGTTTGATAGGCCTAGGCTCTGTCCGCTCAGCTGTCAAAAATCTGATCAACCATATAAGATTTCATCAGGAGTGGGATGTTTCATTCCATCACAGAAATACCTTCACGAGAGTCGACACATGCACGCGATGAAGCGTATTCGGGGAGAGGGTGGCCGATTCAACTCTGGATCGGTGAAGGGCATGCATGGGCATCACCTTGAGTTGCACGGTGAAGGGCATCCGATGGACTCTGTCCCATCTTCCAATGAAAGCAGCCAAAACTCAGAGCAGAAATTCAGTGTCCAAATCAATGCCTCAGATGGTCCAACACGGACTGGAGCAGCTCCTGCCCTCATCCTGGGAGCATCTGGCCATGTAAGTCACTTATTTTCATCATGAATTTCTGAAATCTTGATTTCATGGAATATTCTTCTTAACAATTTCATCGATCTCTGATCATACAGGATGGCCGAAATGAACTCTCAGATGTATCGGAACTGGTATCGTCTGCAATGCGCCAGGCTGTATCGGGCTCCTAAGACGTTCTCAAGTTGAGTGATGTGAGAATGTAACTGGAAGATGTGTGATGATGGTTCTTTAATCTGCCAAAGGTTGCCAGACTGGTCACTGTGTTTGTTGACCAAAAGTTTGTCCACAGGGTTTGACCTAATTGTTCAGTTGGAGGAGAGATGTGAAAAATCCCAGAGCTCCCCTCTCTGTGAATCACAAAGCCAAAGTATGACTTCCTTCTCACTACTTCTCCAATGATGTACCCTTCAGGCCTGGGCAATTTTTTTTATTGAAGAATCCACTCTGCCCCAATCATACAGAATTTATTTATTTTGTTGTGAGGGACAAGAGGCACTGCAGTGTCCTTCACCATCCTTGTCTTCCTAGTGCATAAGGCTAAAAACATCTGTTAGGAATATATGACATTCCAAGTGCATGTCTTTGCTGTTTTCCTTTGCAATGAGGTGCCTGTCCTGGACTTGAAATGTGCAAACTTGCATTTTGTTTTCTCATGGAGTTCAAGTCCCATCCTTGAAGAGCAATGTGTATTTCATGAAAGCTTTTGACTGATGAGACATTTTGAATTCCTCCTCCCTGTGTCAGTATTGAGTACAAAGAGAATGCTAGGGCATTCACTTGCTTCAACTAATTTTATGGTCTTCTGTAGAGGCATATGACATAACGTGTGAGGAAGTGGCAGCACCAGTTTCAGAATTACATTGGAAGCTATTTTTTCAAGAGAAATCTGGAACGATTCTTTCAGCTATTGTATTTGTTATGTCACTTCATTGGAGAAAGAAAAATCTTGATACCTGTGTCTCACTTCAATGGCATATAATTGGATTTTTAGATGTATGGATATTGGTATCGACTGACGCTTGCAGTATCGGTGCAGCTGCTTCTTTGCTCTCTGATACTCGGTACCTATGTGGTACTTTTCCCCCTGCTTCCTGTCTTCCCTGAGGATAGACTGAGTATATATGATTGATTTCACATCATGAAATCGGTAAGGGGGGGACTTTTAAAAGGAAGTTTTCTCGCAGACATGATCTCCATGAGGTGTTGGTTCTAGTTTTGGTCAAGATTGAAATATCATTGGAATTTATACACCCACGTAAGCAAGAGCTGCAAGTCGTGTCGACATCGGCGAGGCGATATGCACCAAAGGGATGTGGGATTTCTTATCACGAGCCAAGCCCGTCGTGATGCTTGGTAGAGGCTCCTGAACAAGTAGTAATCCTGCATGCACAAATTAGTACACGCCTATTAGAACGAACTTGATTCGCGCGACATCCCAGTTGTGTTTCCGAACGTGTACGTGAGGAATTCGCCGAACAGACGGGTTGAATCTGATGGTTCAACGGAATCGTGAATCGCTGAATTCGCAAACTCTCGTGCGATTTTGAGCAGCAATCCAATGGCGTAAGGATGAAAACGATGCAAGTCATTTTCATTTTCGAGCGAGCATTCAATGATTCCCTGGCAGGTGCGACTCTCCTCCATGACATCAGCGAGGGATGCGATTTTGATCGATGACGGCCCGGCTGTGGCGCTGGGAACCGGTCCAGCAGGCCGTCTTTGCGCTGTCGTTTGCAGATGGGGCGAGGAACCCGCGTCCCTCGAGGCGGGAAGCGACGGACCCGCTACAAATTGCGTTGTGTAGCAGGAATGTCGAACTCCAACGAGCCGACGTGCGTCGATTCGACGCGTGAACGCCCGAAACGTCGACGTTACCCGTGCGCGGCAGTTGGATTTCGTCGCGACCTTAAGACTCGCAAGGGAAGAGGCTGGAGTCTTGGGATGGTGCCCTTGCAGCACTCATGTTGAATCCGCGTCAATTGGACGTCGATTTCGTGTTTGTTTTTACGAGGCCATTCCAACAGTAACCTTCAAATGTGTAGGCTACTTCACCAACGTCAATATTGACACCTGAAGTAACTACAAGTCGACCCGACCAACAGAAACATCATCGACACGGCATTCGCCTGACACGTGTGCTAACCCCCCCCTCCCCCTCCCCCCCCCTCCACCCGCTAGAAAGGCGGAATGGGCTCTCTCATCCCCTGCGTCATTCGCTCGTTTCGGCCCTCGACCAGGTGCTCCTCTGCCGTTTCTTTTCTTCACCTTGAGTCACTTCCGGCGGAGTTCCTGTTGGCCTCGTCCCAAAGTTTCGCGTATCTGGACTCGCCGAAACGAAACGGCAGACGAAAAACGAAAACTCTGGGAAATCCGATCATATTCCCTTGTGGGTGAATCCGGAAGAACCAACCCTTTAAATTAAAGCCCCTCGCCTCACCCTGCGCAAGAAGCAAGACTGCAACAATTGACACGAAGGTTTCCATTTATTTTTCTGCTCTGGACCGCCCAATTCCAAAAGCCAAAAAAAGAACGAAACAATTCTCAGTTTCTCGAGAATATAGCCTTTTTTCAACGTTTACTGCTTGCAACCCTTGCCTCGTTCTCGGCGAATTTGATATCTTTATAAACCCCATAGACATAGAATATTGGACCAGTGTTGATCCAACCGCGAGTCAATATTAGTCCAGTAAACTGCGTCGATGAGGAAAGCTCTATTGGAAAGCTCTCAACTGATTCAGTATGCACTACGTGAGGATTCGTGCAGCCTCGACTGGGCGATCGAGGGAAGATGGCAGCTTCCACCCCGTCCACAATCGCTCAGCTTTGTTTTTTTTTGTTTTGAAATGGTGTTCTACTGAAAGCTCGGACGAGGAAAGACAAGCAAGATGCAGGCAAACTCCATTATCACGGTTTCTTGACCCTGTCACGTGACCATGGCACACTTCTGTTCGCTCCATCACCCCATCGCCCCTTGTTGCGTAGCGCGAAGAGGCGACGCACGAGGCGCACCGCGAGGAGCTTCGCAGCAGACGACGCGCATTCTCCCCCCCCCTCCCCCCTGCCTCCACCGCGCATGCGCAGAGGGACTCCCCTCCCCCCACTTCTTTCTGCCTCCACCGCGCATGCGCGGAGGGGTGGCTCCGAGCCCCCATAAACAAAAGACGCGTGGACGTCATGCAGTCCAGTTCCTCGCTGGTTTTCGTGCAGAGAGTGAGTCTCGAGTTCCTCGCGGAGATGAAGCCTCACTTTGGCACGGATCTGACGGCACAGACTCAGAATTCCAATGTTTTGCCCGTCGTGATGCACTGCACCCGGATGGCCGGCCGAGCCGTCATCAAGGTCGTGCATCGATGCAACGATGCCAAGCGCACCACGTTGTTGGGTGAGAGCTCGATCGTCTCGTTCTAAAATCTCGGAGAAAGGCGCGTTGCGTAACGTTAAGGGGATCTTTTTGGCAAGGATTTGGCAAGGATGAGTCGGCAGTCGGCTGTCGGCCGCCTTCGTTGCATGCTCCGTGTTCGTTCTCGCTTTCCTCGAAGTCGATGGCGCATGCCGTGACCAGAGTCGTTCGTCGGGTGGAAGAGGCGGTGGAAAATGGGCGCTTGGGTGCGTGAATCGGAGGAAATTCGCGTTCCCGTCCGAATGCTCGCGATATCCCCGCGGTGAAAAGTCGTTTCACGCTCCGGTGGGTATGGGTGCCAGGAGCGGCAGAAGGAGAAAACGATACGGCGGAGTCCGTCGTGAGGTCGAGATGGAAAGGATGCCGTTTTCACTTTCCCTTTCTCCCGCGGAAGATGCTCCGGTTTTCGCCTTTCTGCGTCGACAGATGGTTTCACGGTCCCCGTGGGTTTCCAAGCCTCGTTTCGCCACCGGATCCGTTTTTTCCCGCAGCGGGCTTCCGATCCCGTCGCAACGATCGCGGCCTCGTTTCCCGCGACGGCACCGTGGAAACGAGGCATTTCGCCATCGCGATCTGTGGACTCGACAGTCCGTGAGGGGATCGAGAGGAAATCCGTGAGGGGATCCGTGAGGGGATCGAGAGGGGATTTGTGAGCGGAGTTAAAATTAGACTCGGCTGGGAAGTGCGCAACGACCTTCTCCGCCGACGGGTTCGACCAGGAAGAACGAAGGCCATCCGTCGATACAAAGGCCTATACAAAGGGCTTCTTGGCCGTGCCTGCCAGGTCCTTGACTCTTCCTGGTCTTTGAAGCTTCGAATGCACGGTACTGTTTTTCGGCTGGGCCCGATGTAAAGAAGTCGTTTGCGGTCAAGGATGAGGGGGGGAGGGGGAAGGAGGCTCTTCAGGTGGAGTCACGGGGTCGATGGGTTCGTGTCTAAAGGATCTAAATGCACTGCGGGATGGCTCGTCGCGGTCTCGACCGACAGAAAAAGAAGTTTTGATTTATCCTAATATTAATATAGGGTTTGGGGGAAGGTCTGGGGACCTCGGATTCCACGGTCGGAGGGACGACACGACGATCGGAGGGCCGACACGATGCCACCAGGGCGTTATAAATCCTCGGTTAAGAGTTGGAAAAATGAGGCTCTAGGCGAAATATTAGTAAGCAAATGGTGTTCGCGTCGAACCTCGGACGATTCCACTCCTCTTGCGGCACTACCCCTTATAATTTCGTGACGCGTTAACGATCGGGAACGGTCGAGGTCGAGGTCAGAGTGCCCAGAGGGGAGACTCCCGAGGGATCGAATTTCGTCGGGGAGAATCGGGAGCGGTTCGCGCGAGACGCGTGCGGAGCGCCGCGACCGCCGCCCCACCTCGCGACGAGAGGAACGAGAACGCGTGAAAGGCCCCGATGACGGCTTGCGATGACGGCCTGCGACGATGGGAGAAGGGAAAGGCGGAAACGGGCACTGCTCCGGGAACCAAGGTCTCGGGCGGCACAAAGGACGCCTTCGCCCAATCTCGTCTCTCCCAGTCTCGTCGCGATCCCGCAACGATTCCTTTCCGCATCGGACCTCGGGAGCACCTCGGAGGTACCTCGGAGGTACCTCGGGGGCACCGCCGTCCCCGTGCATCGCTCTCGAACTCGGAGAGACGAAGCATAAATCCGGATCACGGTCTCCCCCCGGAGTGGGCGTCCGGTCGGCTTCGGTTCCCGTCTCTTTCGAGGAGAGTTCCCCGCGAGGGTGTGGCCGGAATCGGGAAGGGATCGCTTCTTTCTTCTCTTTCTCCTCGCATCGGGAAGGAAAACATCGGGAAGTTCGAAAACGACGACGCGGGAATCCCGGTCCACGTGCCGTGGAGCCCTGCCATCACCGTCTCGTTGCCGAACGACGACGTGAATTTTCGATCCTTCGGCGCGCCCTACGCGAGGAACGAACCGTAACCGAAAGATGCCATAAATTCACCGAACCCGAAGACATCGAAATCGGACGGGAAGGTGCTCTTCGGCGCCGGTCGAGGTCGAGACGAGCGACTCGCGACGCGATTCCGAGGTCAGAGATCAGACCGATCACGACGGTAGCCGGAGGTTTCGTCACTCCCGATGATAAAAGCGGCCCCCTCGGTAAAAGGAAAATCGACCCTGCGGACGGGGCTCGGCCGTCCCTCGCGGACCCAGCCGTCGAGCGTCTCCTCCTCCTCCTCCAGCATCTTCTCCTCCTCCTCCTCCAGCATCTCCTCCTCCTCCTCCCTCGATCTCGCGTGGGCACTCTCGACCCGCTCTTCCGACCGGAGAATGAGTTTCCCGTGGATGATGTCGATGCGATGCGCGAGACCGCGAGACCTCCATCCTTTTTTCTCTCTCTCTTAAACTGGGATCACGACGGAGGTGGCTCCATTTTCCTTTATGTGATGCGATACTGACGTCATGATCCCGTCCCACGGATTCTCGGGACGATGACCCCCCCCTCCCCCCATTCCCCCTCCCCTCCCCTCCCCCCAGTCTTCCCGCGTTCGCGACCGTCGATCACCCCGTCGACGGGTGACACGCGTCCGGCTTAGGCGGAGGGGGAATGGGCGGGACCTTGAGGCCCGCTGCTCACGTATTCCAGTCAGAGAGACAGGTTTTTGTCCCTCACATCGTGATGAGGCCTGGAGCCTTGCCAAAAGTATGTGTGACTCATCATCGAAGGAAAAAAAACTTAAAAACCCTGATCTTGCACTTCGTTCAAGGGCTTCCCCCTCGCCCCGGGCGACGACCGGACCCGAATCCTAATCTATTTTTGTTCTCTTTCCCGTTCCGCGTAGACCTGTCGGAGTGTCAGCTGATGCAGGTCCCGGACGCCGTGTATCACCTGCTCCGCAACACCCGCCTGTCGGAGTGCGACCTTTCCAACAACGCCATCGGGAAGCTCCAGGCCAAGTTCCCGCTCAAATTCAACGCGATCACGAGTGAGTTGGACGCGATCGCGAGCGAGTGGACGCGGTCGTCGATCGGATCGCGGCGGTCGCGAAAGCCAGATGCCACAGATACGCAAGTCGTTCGTCGCGATTCGGTATCCGGAAGGAGAGAAAGGTCCATCGTCGAAGGCATGAATGAGACGGAAGGACCTTGAGAACCTGTCAGACCGGTTCATTTTTCTCATCGGAAATAGATGAAACTCTCGGAGGTCCCTCCGATTGCAACGGAGGTGACCGTATGGTATCGAGTCGAAATATTTTTCAGGTGCGGAAACGCGGAAGCGCGTTGAGTCTTGGGGTTTTCCCCCTCTCTCCCCCCCTCCCCCTCCCCCCCCCCCTCGCCCCACCCCCCCGTTTCTATTTTGGACTCGAAAGAGGGGAAAAGAAGGGAGTCGGGATGGCAACACACCCTGGGCCACGGCGCAGTTCCGCCCTGCCTTTTGGCAGGCGTTCCCGTCTAAAAATGGACTTTTCGGGGAACGATTTTCGACACCGTAAACCTGCACCGAAGGGAGAAGGATGGCACCGTGCAAAAAAATTTTTATTTTTCTTGGAATTCGCAGGTCTGTCGTTGAGCCACAACAACCTGGGTACCCTGCCCGACGACATGTCCCAGTTGTCGGACCTGACCCGGCTGGACATCTCTCACAACGCCTTCACGGCCCTGCCGAGATGCATCTTCAAGATGCCCAGCCTCCGCGTCCTCCTCGCCAAGAAGAATTTCATCACCGGTACGCCACTTTCCACCTTTTTCTTTTTAATCGCGAGTCTTTTCGGCTCAAAAATCGAAGAAATCGACGATTTTCCCCTTCCAAAGAGTCGGAAGGGAAAAATGTTGGAGAAACGCCCGTTTCGTGTCGAGGCTTGGCTTGTTTACGTCGGCACGTGCAAGCAAGGGATCGTCGGAAATCGACGGTGGGGCAACCTGGTTCGAGTCGATGCCAGTCGCCCCACCAACCTGGTTCGAGTCGATGCCAGTTGCCCCACCCACCGATGGCGTCCGATCCGCCTCGACGCGGACGATTTTCGGAGAGGCGATCGCCTCCATTCGGGGTCCATTCGGCGTCCATTCGGGGTCCATTCGGGGTCCATTCGGGGTCCATTCGAGGTTCATTCGGCGTCCATTCTCTCGTGAGAATACAGAGCCTGTCCGGGTTTTCACGCTCATTAGAGCTCGCTCGTCCCTTTCTCCCGATTCCACGCCCCTGGGTTAGGAAATTCTCCACGGGCTGTGGTGGGCGGGAGGAGAGTTTATACGTTTCAGGGTCGTTAGGTCGTTAGCGTTACGCCATTTAATCGGACGGCGAACGACTCTTGACACCGATTTCGTCAGGAAATTCTTTTTTTTTTCGGGCCCTCTCACACCCGATGGGAGGGGTTCGACGCCGCGGGCGTCGATGATCGCGGTCGGATCTCCGACCGTCGGGATCCCCCCGTCGCACGCGTGGGAACTTCGCCGCCATCGGAGCCGAAACGACGACCGAGAAGCGTTTCTCGGCGATTTCCAGACTCGAAATCACCCGCAATGTAGGCTACGTTCCCGATGGAGAAAGCGTGCATCGACGCTTTCGTAACGCCGTCGACGTGACGTGGTGAATTGATTGCGTTTCAGACTCCGATATCTCACTGATTGATAATTAATTGGAATGAGAAAACCTCTTATCTATGTGCGGCAATCAACGTCATGCGGTTTTAAAGCATAAAAGATGTTTAAAAAGTTGGCATGTTTCCAGCGATTTCCCCTTCACCGCACACCCACCCTTCTCTCCCCCCCCCCCCCCCCCCCCCCCCCCCTGTTTAAAAAGTTGGCATGTTTCCAGCGCTTTCCCCTTCCCCCCCCCCCCCCCCTTCCCCCCCCCCCCCCCCTTCTCTCCTAATTCCAGCGCGATGGAATTCTTGTATTGGTCGGAACTTCGATGGAAAGTTCACTCTTGGCCGAATCCTTCACCCCCTACATGCTCTTTCTTTTTCCAAAAATCCTCCCAAAGTGGAGACGAACGAACGAGAAAGCGGAAATCTATTTTAGCCCTATAACTCGTCCGACTTGCCATGACCCGACATGACCCGGGACGAAATGCTGCCTGCAGACGCGGAGTCGGAGCGACTGGGGCGCCGCCCGCACCTGGAGGAAGTGGATCTGACGGAGAACCCGCTGACGAGCGTGAGCCTGGGCGGGATCGCGGGGATCCCGAAGCGGATCACGGTGCACGTCAGTCCGTCGCCGGTCAGCGAGGAGGACGAGGAGGATCTCGCCGTGTGACGGAGGAGGCGGTCGTCTGCTCCGCTCGGCGGTTCTTCCCGCTCGTTTCCCCATCTCTCCGTTCGAATGGCAGCCGGGTACGTGCGAGTGCAGGTACAGGTACCCGACGGGTTCGTCGGTGTTTCCGCCGGAGGCGGTCGTGCGATCGTGGTTCCTCGGAAGGGATTGGATCTTGACGTTTTTGTGATGGATTAACTTAATCCGCGTGGAGTGTCAGCAGCTCTTTGATGGTCTTTCTCTCTGTTTCTTCTCCCCCCCCGCCACATTCGAGTTCTGGCTCTGAGACGTGAAGAATCTAGTCATCATGATACGAGGCCAACCATCCGACCGTGTCGAAAAAAAAAAAAAAAAAAATTCACCGGTGCCTTTCTCGTCATTATGTCGCTTTTTTTTGTACTAAACGAATCGTGGGATGCGAGCGTCGGCCTTCGACGTCTGGTGACGATCGAAGAAAGTGCTTTTTAAAGTCTCGATGTTTCGATTTTTTCTATCCCTTATTTTCAAGGGATTCCTTTTTATGTGTGCATCATCGACGATTCGTAAATAAACCCTCCTTTGTAGAGTTTTGTTACATTTTTGTGGGAACGGGAAAACGACGAACGAATGAAATCCCGAGAGAACGAGGCCGGAAGCCTCGCGATCGGCCTCGCCGCGGCGACGCGCGGCAGCGCGCGAAGCCCCGACGCCTGCAGCTTCAGACCCGAGGCGGCGGAGAAGAAAAATGGAGGAAATAAACGTTTCAAGGTCTTCGATGCTTCCCATCCGCCCGATAAAGTAATCAGAAATAATGAAATAATGAGCGAATGATAAATCTTTCATTCAAAGTGGCTAACGGACACGTTTTCTCGAGTTCGCGTTCTCGCCCATGCTCAAAGTTTTCCATCGTTTACGCAACTGAGTTGCATGCCATCAGCAGCTGGATTAAAATTCTGGATCCGAATCGATTTTTCCCGGATTCCACATTTTTGGATCGCTTCGAACCGGTCGCCGCTCTCCCGCCGCTTGTCACTTAGAACGGCCGGCGTCCAACCGATGAACCGATTTTTATAAATAAGTCTGTGGCCTCCCTTGAGAACGAAGTGACAAGCATGAATCATCGACGTTGCCTATAATTAGCACCAAAAAAAAAACCTTGGAGACCCGCTTCGTGCATCGACAGCTGCGGAGAGAGAGAGAGAATCTCCGCGACAGACGCGAAAGCGCGAGAGGCGAATGCCCCATCTGCCCCATCTGCCCCATCTCCCTCCATCTGCCTCCAGAATCCAAACCGAATATTCTCGAGGAGAAAAAACGACTCGAGTCGTCCGACTCCAAAATTCGCCGCTTCCGCAGCATGCAATCAGTTGCTCCCGCTCGATCTCGACTCTCGCATCGCGGGATTCGTCCGCGGAGCAACGACGATGGCGATCGGACGAAGCGAGGACACGCGTCCGCGAACGGTTGCGAAACGCCCGAGAGAAAAAGCATCGACGCAGGCGAAGAAACGTTCGTGTCAGACTCCACGGAATTCCCACTTTTCCCGTCGAGACTTCCGTTTCCGGTTTCCAATTTCCTCACGCGCGTGAGGCGAGGCTCCGTGCACGCACGGATCCACGTGCGTGTAAAATTACGAGGACTTAATTATCGAAGCGCTTCGACGGTGGTGCTGTCACGCGCGATGGAATTCATACTTTTTTTACGATCGAGATCGGTAAATGAATTCTGTGAATTCTGTATCATCTGTCGGACGAATGCGATATCTTCCGTTTCTGTCTGGGATAAACTCACCAATAAACATTTTTTTTTTATTTTCACATCATTATAATAATAATAATTATTATTATTATTTTAATACTCGATGGAGTTTCCACCTCAAGTCCCCGATCGCCCAGACCACAATAGATCGCCGAACACGCAAGGCCATCACGTAGCGCATGGATCCCGTCCTTTCTCCAGCGGGAGACGGAAGAGCGAGAGGGATTCGAAGCCACCTCGAAGCCACCTCGGAACGCCGAAGCCACCTCGAAGCCACCTCGAGACCCCGAAGTTCTCCACGCGTTCGTCGTTAAACTCGGAAGATCGACCTCGAATTCGGCCTCGCGTCCCGAATCGCGTCGAAAGGCATCATCTGTCATCTCTTTCCGGGCCTGCGTCACGCGGCCCGCGACCTCGGATTCTGCAGCGACGTGAGACGTAACGAACGACGTCGAGGGTCGGAGACGACGCAAAGAGGTTCGTGTCACTCCTCTGTTCTCGGGGAATCCTCGAGGTTTCAGCCCGTTCATGATGTTACGTATCGATCGGCAGGAAGATTACCTCCCTGGTACTGCTGCAACGAGGATGCATCGATACCTATCTCACGTTAACTCGTGCGAATGCAACTCACAGTAGATCACTTCCGCCTCCCAAGGAATTCAGATTAAATTTCCTCCTCGCACGGGGGAGGCGAAGGGAGGATGCAGGCAAAGGGAGGATGGAGGGGAAGGGAGGATGCAGGCAAAGGGAGGATGGAGGGGAAGGGAGGATGCAGGCAAAGGGAAGATGGAGGGGAAGGGAGGATGCAAACGAAGGGAGGGTGGAGGAAGGGGACTTCCTGTCGGTGTGAGGATCCTCCCAGTCGACCTGCATTCTCTCGCTGGTCTGGACGGTCCGATGCGACGAAAACGGCGATGGAGGATCTTTTTGGGGTCTTCATCGCCGAAGGAAAAGACCCAGCATTTTCGAGGGTTTCGAGAGACGAACTCGGTCCGACTTCTGCCGATGCGTTGTTTCTCCCGACAGCCTTTCGTACCGTGGATGTCGTTTGGTCGTTTCAATGTCGCACACTCATTTCATCCGTCGGGAGATTTAAATTGGGGGGGGGGGGGGGGGGGGGGTGGGGAGTGGGGGGGGTGGGGGGGGGGGGGGGGGGGGGGTACGCGGAACCGAAGAGTAACCGCATTGCAGCAAGCTCTCAAGGAGCTGTGGTGTTATTTTGGGAAGCTCAAAGCCTTCGAAATTTCGGTTTTGGTACTTGTCATCTTTTTCCCTCTTCTTCACTTTTACCATTGAAATCTCGCAAAATCTTGCATAGAAGGAGCGAAATTTCTCCTCCCGACACCCCCTTCCTAAATTCCAGACAAAAAGACGAAATATCATGGCTAAATTCCACAGCTGTCATCCGTCTGCCACGCAGCCAAATTACACAGAGAGAGCCCCGTGCAGCCTCGTCGATCAAGCCACTGCCGATTCGGTCGCGTGTCAATCGGTCTGTCAATCGGTCTGTCAATCGGCTCAGCCCTACTTCTTTGGACACGATCGAAGTAGGGTGGAATTCCCCTTCCAGCTTCGTCTCCAGGATTTGCTTCATTCCCTGATTCCTGCGTGCATCTCTGATTTTTTTTCTTTCCCCCGATTGAACTTGCATCGAACGTGGGATGAAGTCCTACTTGCGAGGATTCCACAGAAAAAGAGAAAGTGAAGACCGGGAAAAAATGCACAAGTTACTTCATGTTCATCGACCGATATGCCGTTTTAGGCGACCGGCGCAATTTTCGCCTTTTCGCGGATATTGCAGAATTAGGATGGTTCTTCAAAATGAGTAAGAAGCGCGCATCTAGATATTTTCGTGGGGATCAACCTGGAATGCCGGAATAAATCAATTGATGAGCCACTACTTTCATGACCAATGTAATTCTTGTTCCTAAATACTGTCGACTGCATGATGTAGTTCTTTGCGTAAATTAGAGACCCGGACCCATATGGAGAGGCAGCAATTGTGCAATAATAAAACAACATGGGATACGCGCAAAAAAGCAACAGTGGAGAGGTTAAAGAGGCTCTCATGCCCACAGCTCAAATACTCGAAAGTCAACCAAGTTTTAACCTTATTTTAGTTATTTTTGTACTTGTTGGTCAATTTCACGTCGCGTACCAGAGGTTCGTCATCGCTAAGGTAGTAGATCCTTCAATATATATTCAATTTCGGTATCGTACAGGAGTCTCCATGATAGGATTGCGTTCATCACTGTCGAGTGGCCTCTTGGAGCTCACAGGTTTTAGGAGCGGTGATTCCAAGCCTTGCACCTTAAAAAAATGCGGCTTCTGGTGACGGATAAGCTTTTCCACTGACCGGATGATACCTGGGGATGCTTTTAATCGGAGAACTCGAGACGAGTTCCATCAAGTTCACGGAGAATAGCGAAGGAGTCCGCGCGAACGCAGACTCCCAAAAGGCAAAAATTTCGCCGTTGACCAACCCATATTTGGGGCAGTCACAGGGGTCAGCTCAGCCGGAGTGCAATGGAAGAGCCTCACCTGAGAGAACGACCTTCAAGATCACCGTTTCTCCCCGGCCAGGTAAGTTTATGATTGATGTCACCCCTGCGATCCTTCACAAAGCAGCTCTCCTCCCCCCAACCCCCATCTCGCCCTTCCTTACCCTCCTCCACCTTCCCTTCACCACAGAAAGCAGAAAAGTGATTCGATTCCACTGGGAACCGAAACGTTCAACAACGAGCATCGCAGAAAGTGAATGCTCATCCATCTCGGCAATGTCACGACGAGAATAGACTACAGATTAGGCCGTCGCGGCCTCCGTATCGCCACCTACCGGGAGGCCGAGTTGCACTTCCTCGTCCTCGGCCTTCAAACCGGGATTTACTTTCCGAAGGTTAAACTGTAATATAAAATCAGTACGGGAACTATAAATGCATCGCTCGAGGAAACATCCTATTGTATTATTGCTTGGTGCATGAAAATAATATCTCCGGCCGATCAAGCCTTTCCAGTAAATGCTTTGGGGTTCACAAAACGACGTTCGATAAATGACCGCTTCTTGTGAAATAAATTATGCCGTGCGAAAGTTTAGGTGGATTTTTGTTAAGAAACGAGTCAGTGAAACAAAAGTCGACTTTCATCGATCCCACGGTTCAACAAAAATTAAAACCCCCAAACTTTCCACTCCGCTTGATGCTCAAGTTTCCTGTTTCCCAGTTGATGCTATTCAACTCTCGATACATTGGCCTTATCATTCCGGATTTGAGGGCTTAATCGATCGGCTGAATCAGCTTAATCTGTTCAGCCTCTTTAAGCCTGAATGGAAACGACACGAGCCAAGGTTTCCCAACCGATAATCTGATGATGATTGCGCAATCTCTTGTTTCGATGGATAAGATCATGCGTTACGCTAATAATTTTAAGAGTGAGGAAAAGCCTGTCGAGTTTCTCTTTGAGGAAATTTCGAGAAGATGAAGGTGTTCTGCGCAAAATACAGAAGATGANGAAGGTCGTTCTCCCAGGGTGAGGCTCTTCCATTGCACTCCGGCTGAGCTGACCCCTGTGACTGCCCCAAATGCGGGTTGGTCAACGGCGAAATTTTTGCCTTTGGGAGTCTGCGTTCGCGCGGACTCCCTCACTCTTGTCAAAGAACGCATTAAGCTCCGAGTAATGCCAATAATAGTATTCCTCCAGAATCATCCAACTAATGGATTAACTCTCTCGGTGGGCTCATCGATTACCAGCAGTCATGCTTTTCAAGGCTCGGAACCAATCCCCCTAAACCCTGTGAGCTCCAAAAAAAGCCACTCGGCAACGACGAAAGAT